GTAGTGGTATGGACAGTTTATTCGCCCACCAGCTGTGGGCGCCAGACGCTACACTATGAAACCCTGCAAATCGTTTGTCCCTCATGCCGTCTGTACTTTGGTACTCCGCATAGCAGATATAGTAATTCAAACATGTAGATATTTCTACTTGTGGAGGTTGGTTCTCATCTGGCATATTATTCAGGTAGAGGCGCTAATCGCTCTGGAGGCACTTTCAACGAGCTTCACTGTAGACCGGGTGTGTGTGGACCCGGTAGTCTTCTTGAGAGCGTGTCCTACCCAGTGGGGGCGGGTCCCGGCTCAAAAGTAGCCAAAAGGATGTGCGCTGACATGCTTGCAATACCACCCCGAGCCGATGGGGGTGGACCCGGAATAAGAATTAGCCAATGCTAACATATAGCATTAGGTGACTTCTGGAAAACGTCTTTACAGGATGGTCCAAAAGTTGGCTCTTGGCCCAAAGCTCCGTTCCACATGTGTGTCAATGCTGAGGGGAGGGACATTTTTTGGACCACTCTAGTTTACTCGCTGTGAATTTTTTAAGTCACTTGTTTAAATAAATGGGGCTTGTGCCGACTGACGCATGCGTAGATGTGTTTTTTCCAAGCCCCGGTGATCCAAGATGGCGCCCTATTCAAATGAATGGCTTGTGCTCAGTGGCGTATGGGACTTCATGGAGACCAGGAGATTAGATAAACTCGCCTATATTTGGGCATCGTCTGGTCCTCCCGGTTCTATCCAGTGGATTAGCGCATTGCATGATAGGAGATATCTCCCGTAATGCATCGCGCTAAACGTGCGTGTGTGGCTTTCATGCACGCTCACAGAGGGGCTCGGCCGCGCTCTGACCAATCAGAGCTGATCATCAGAGCAGCGGAAGAGCGGAGCCAGAGCGGGAAGGCAGGGAGCAGAGTTTGTGGCAGTAAAGTGTGGATTTAAAGAAACCCGAAGGATTTAAAGGCACACCGCGGACTTTGTGACCTAAAGAGTTGACACATATGAGTTATTTTATATGAATACTTGGGCCAATATACAGCGCTTGACACTTGCAATGCTCCGAGCGGGGCTGCCCTCTTGAAATACCGCCCATGTAAGTTTCGAGCAGACGGACCGTCTGCCACCAGGTCACGTGACTTGGAAGAAAGACTTGCTTTACGGCTACAGGCGCTGATATACTCATGGAGCTAAGGCTTTTGCTACTCATTTTTCACCTGCTCGACTCCTGGTCATGGCTGAGGCAAGGAAAAATTTTAAACCTTCGGAGGAGGCTAAAAAGAGGAAACGCGAAAGGGATCGTGCTGTAAGCTGCATGTCTGTATGAGCGCTGCTCTTCACCTGGTTCCTGGATGTCATCGACTGCAAAGATGTCATTCCACGCAGCACGAGCTAGACGCAGAACTCCCTCATCCAGGATATAGAAGTCCATGTGTGGTAGATTACTAATGCAGCGGTCTGGAGGCTGACCACAGCAGAGTCTCTCAATATCTGTAGGCATGTCTCTACAGTTTGAACACACACACCAGTGCATGCTGTCTGAATACACACTCAAAAGACACCGGCTGACTGTTTGTTGACTTTTGCGACAGTGCTGAGTTGCTTGTGGCCACTAGGGGCGCTAAACGTGAAAGTTGCAGGTCTAGCGCCCCTAGTGGCCAAGAGTTACACGGTGTGCCTTTAAGAATAAAAAAAGTTCAGGATTACAAGGGACACTAAAATCCCCACAAAATCCAATCTTTATGAAAGCTGTAGGTTCTCTGTCAGCTGAGGTCGTGCGGTTTTAATTTACATTGAGTTCTATGGGACTTTTTAATGGGTAGCCCTCGTGAATTTAGGCTGCAGTACCACGGGCGCCCCCTGTGCCCATAGGTGGGACAGCTATAAGCTAGAAATACATTATCCAGTTATTATTATAGATCCATGTTTTTTTCACATTTTCCAGCCCCCGCGGCCATTTGGAATCACTCCATGAGAGCCCAATTTTTGGCCCAATAATTAGAACGGCGGGGATAGGCGTGACTACGTCGGTTAATGCTATGGTCTATGGTCCTACCTGAAGTGGTATGTCTGTCATACTGGCCCTACTTGCCATTTAGCTCTGTGATTTCAAAGGTCCTATATTACGGTTTTCTTCATGTTTCACAGGCAATCCTATACACATGTGTGATAATAATGTGTGTGATACACCATACAACACTCAAAACTTGTGAGATTATAGCCATCTCTTGTATAGAGGTGACGTCTCCTTGACTCAAACAGTTTGATTCAGAGATCAGTCTGCTCCTCTGTCCGTGAGCCCACCTCCCCCCGCCCGCACGGTGACGTATCGGGCGTGATGCTCTGAGTTGTTTATCACCGGTACTTAGTCATTTCAGACCTGAGAATAAACTTGTATACAACAATAACAATCCGTCACATCGAGCTCTATGTCCTCGATGCACAATCAGACCCTGATTATTTAGTTTACAGAAGTATACAATGATTCCAAAAGTGCCATTATGATCTGCAGAACCACAGAGGACAGACATTTAATCTTTCCAGCTTTTCGACTTGCTGGAAAGGTTCTTAATATCTGTAGTGAAATTAAATATCTTTGCCATCTGATCACAGATCGGCTCACAGATGATGAGGACATTATTCGGCAGTATCGTTTGTATGTAAGGGCGAATGCTTTGGTGCGTAAATTTGGTTGCTGCACTCTTGAAGTGAAGTTGACCTTATTTAAAGCTTACTGCTCTCCTTTATACTCTGCACATCTGTGGTTGAACTACAAAAAAGCTACTCTTCAAAAGCTGCAGGTAGCTTTCAATGACGCTCTGAGGATGCTGTTAAAGAAGCCCAGATCGACTCATGCGAGTGAGTTGTTCGTGAGCAACAGAGTGAACACACTGAAGTCTGTCCTGAGAAATGCAATGTTTAGTTTTATTCGCCGATTGAACGAGTCTGTGAACCTGGTTGTTGTTGTTTTGGTGAATGCCAAGTTCAGTACAACACGCTATATTTCTCAGTTCTGGGAACACTGGTACAAGTGTCTTTGTAAATGAGTCCTTAGACTTTGCTATTTTATTTTTTATGTTTCTGTGTCTTGTGGTGTCCTTGTGTTGTCTCTTGTATGGACCCTGAGTCCGGAATAAAGATTATATATACCGCGAGTTAGCATCACTGTACTTGCAGATCGGGGGTCCTTGTTACGCCTTTTATCGTGAGAATAACACATGTTTCCAGATCTGCTTCTGACTAAGTCCAGTTCCATTGTCCCTGTAGTACTGGAACAGTCTCAGTGAAGTATCGCAGATGAACCCGTTATTATAATTAATCCATGATGAACAGATGAAAAAAGTCAAGCCGCTTTTTCTCCTCTTTTGGGCAAATAGTGCGTCACATATTTACACCCAAAACACATTTTATCCAAGTTGACCTGATCCTAACACTCATAGTTGCTGATAAAAGCAGAAAAACAGCAGCTCTATGCGGTGTCCGCGGGACCAAACCACAGACATACGCTAGACTCGGGAGCTGGACTCTGGAACTGGCTGCGCTCTCTGATTCTCTGTTTTGATCTGTCAATCAACTCCGCCAGCTTTTACTATTATTTTTATAATTTTTGACAACAAACAGCATACCTGTACTCATTGTGTATTGTTTACCCAGTTTTGACAAAAGTATTTAAAAACCATTTTAAATACAAAGCAAACAGGGTTATGTGCGTCGTATTCGTCATCAGTGTGGTAATCGTCACAGATGTGGACCCGAGCATTTCACTGCCTCTCGAGGGGGAAGGAGACAGATCGCTCTCTATCTAAAGCTTGACAGAGTCAATGAAAAAACTACTCTGGGCATGTGTATGAAGGCCAAATAGCACTGTAATCATGTTTAAACCAGAGAAAAGTCAAAAAGCGTAATATGGGCCCTTTAATATGTAATGACTGTTTTAGGAACAGCCTGGGTGAATCGGGCGCAAAGCACAGCCCAACCACAGCTGTCTTTTTGACGCCGTCTTTACAACAATGTTGTGTATTTAAGTTATGACCTGAAACGGGGAAAATGTACTTTCTGCTGGTGTGTCTAATTACTGAGATACTACTACTACTTGCATTCTTGTTGTCTACATATAAAGAATGCAAGTGTTGAATCCTGCACTGTAACTGATTTGAGTAACTAGTGCAAACTATTCAGAAGAAAGTACAAAATAAGCTAAACTTGACGATTATAATGTGCTTAAATGGAACCTTTTGTCCTCACTCAATCCTGTGTCCTTTTAGTTTTTTTGAATTATTATTCTAATTTAAACATTCATCCGAACCCTCAGTTTGTCACACATCCATCAGCCTGCAACAACCAGAGATGTGTTATAGTATCTGGATAGGGTATTGCTAGCCCCAGCATGGTGGGGGGACCACCGGCTGTTTTGTAGACTAGAACCTACAGCTTTCTCGAAGATCAGGATTTAAGTGTCCCTTGTCGCCCTTACTTTCACTATACATTTTTTACTTGACATTATTTTTTCACAACCAAGTTTATCAAAATACAGTCATCACATATTGGCAGAAGCCGCTGTTTATGGAACTCCTCACACATTTCTTGTAAAAAAAAATTGAAATTGTTGAAATTGTTCATTACTACATATGCAAATATGTGGAAAGTTTTCTGTCTCACTCGGTCTCAAAACAATTTCCTCAAATACATAAACTATTGAATACTTCAGGGTTAATTAGCAAACCACCTAATTCTATTCAAATGACTTTATAATAGTAGTAGTAGTATCTCAGTAAATTAGACAGAAAGTACATTTTCCCCGTTTCAGGTCATAACTTAAATACACAACATTGTTGTAAAGGATCATTGAATAATAATCGGAGCAAATTAAAATTATTTCCTGGAAATTACAATAGTATTTCTATCATTTTATCCTCCTATTATTACTGAGCTGTAAATATAAAGTTCTATCATGTTTGTCCTCCTCCACGTTCCTCACAGGGTCTTGTGCACTGTGGCTTTTCCAGGTGTGAGCACAGTGTATGTCTGGAGGAAGAGTTCCCTCAGCTCTACACTCACGGTTGCAGCCTGCGCGACGTCTGCTCCGACTGCTCCAATTTTGTGGCTGACGTGGTCTGGTCCAGCCGCCGCAGTCTGCACGTCCTGAACACGCCCAAGAGAGAACCCAGGACTGACGTTCTGTCTGAACGTGCCCAAGAGAGAACCCAGGACTGATGTTCTGTCTGAAAGTGCCCAAGAGAGAACCCAGGACTGACGTTCTGTCTGAACGTGCCCAAGAGAGAACCCTGGACTGAGGCTCCGTCTGAACACGCCCATGAGAGAACCCAGAACTGAGGTTCTGTCTGAACATGCCCAGATACCCTGACCCCTGAGCACCACACTAGGGATCAGATTTGACTGGTCACCACAGGAGTCCCTGACCGTGTGGTGACCAGTCAAATCTGATCCGCATACAGACCCATCACCCTTACACATATATAATATATAGGTTTATGGATATAACTCTGGGTTAGGCTTGACACAATATATCTAAAAAAATGTTTTTTGAAATCATAATTATGTTAAAACACTGCTCATCTTTACAGACCTGGAGTTGTTTTGAGCTCCATCCACGCTGATATGATGAACTTCTGGATTATAGCAGTCCCTGCCCTTTGTGTCCAAATGCTCCTCCTTAAAATGTGTTTGCTACTACCAATCTCTGGATTGTTTTCGGTCTTTTGAAGCAAAAGTACGTAAGTAGTAGTAAATTGCAAAATGAGTTCTGAGAATGTATTCAGTTACAACTTTGTGCCTTCAATTTGATCCTGCTATGTTTATTAATTTATATCTAGCAAAAAGTATTCTCCAACATCTACTACTCGATGGTAGTGTGTGTTTCAGCCATTACTCATTCATGTTAATGCAAATATTTAGTAGTTAGTCGATGTGTAGTCCAATCCAGGCTCTGTAATGGTTTGGCTAAGCAATGTTTGCATAAGAAAATGGTAAAGGCTCTCTAAAATTCATTCATTAGGTAGAATGAATGTTATCCTTATATTTTATATAATACAAAATGGGAATTAAAATGATCTGGCCTATGGGCCTAGATTAGTGACAACTGTGGGGATTGTGGCAGCCGTCTACAAACTCTGTATGTAGACGGCTGCATTATGTGGACCGCAGTCCACTGGATCCTCCTCCAGCTGCACAACTACTGCATTAAGAAATATTCATCATGATTTGAATGCAGGGTTTTTTTAGATTTCAAGTGGGACATTTCTTCTCATTTAAAAACCTCTTAATTTTTATTTTGGCTTAAACCTGAATTAACTGACTTGTTTCAATAATACATTTATCTCAGCAGACCAGACTGCGATTGTCACTTTATTAGGAAACACTGGCTCCTCTTTTTCACTGAAAAGCTGGTGACAGAGGCCAACAACACATGTGAGAAATAGAGAAAAAGCCAAACTGATGGGTGGATTTTATTATACAGTTATGTTGTAGTTCCAAACAGTACTTCAGCTCAATGTTGGTTCAGTTTTTTTTATAGTTAATGTTGACAATTATGCTCTTGTTCAGATATATGAATGAAGAGATGCACTTATGCTGGGGAGTGAAGATGGTCGGCCGCATTCAAACCTGTGGAATCCGGATCATGTCGGGGGTTTCTGTTGGGATTAGGAATTTAAACACGTGTTTGACAAACATGGATCCACACAACACGTTGTTTGTGTTACAGACTAACAGAAGCATGAAAATCACTTTAATTTATTGCCCCCTACTTTTTAAACCTCTCCCCCAGCTGGATCCCAGCTGACTCCCAGCCCCTCGTCCCCCTGACCATTCACTGTCCTCTCTCGCCTCTCACTCGACCACACATAACCTTATCCAAAGAGCTTCCTGCTGGAAGGAGCATATAGTCGCGGAGAACTTCTATCTGAGCACTTCTCCCCAGCATCAGTGGCACATTCACCACACTCACTGAAGGGAGCAAAGTCGCGTAGCACAGATCACATATGTGCAGTTGCCTTGATTTGCCTTGAATGTAGTTCAATCACAAATGTATATCAGCTTGAGTAATAAATGATTTTAATAGATACAAACTGTGATGTTTCTTTATGGTGAAGAAAGTTTTACAGTGCCTTGTGCCCTAACTACAAACATGGATATTTTTTACTGAACGTGAGGCATATTGTTGTCTGCCAAGCGGTGTTATTATGAAATAAACATTGAAAGTAAATCAAACCCCAATCAAGGGGGAAAATTAAAAAATTCAATTGAATTAACTTAAGTTTGTTTTGTTTTTTATTGAAAGTAGAAGTAAATCAATAGTAAGTAATCCTTATTTATAAAGCGCCTTTCACAGACCAGAGTCACAAAGCGCTTTTAGGGCAATTATGGGCATTTGTCACTCACTCCAAACAGAGATGGGAGCAGGGTTGCCATACAAGTGGAGTTATGTTTATTTATATAGCGCATTTTACGGCACTATGGCTGAGTGAATAGCACTCTCGCCTCTCAGCAAAGAGGTCCGGGGTTTGAATACTGGTCGGAATGGGGTCTTTCTGAGTGAAGTTTGCATGTTCTCTCGCTTGCGTAGGATTCCTCCGGGTACTCCGGTTTTCCCTACCAGAAAACATGCACACTAGGTTAAATCCTCCAGCTTCAGTAGTCCTGACCAAGCCAAGCATCAACATCTGGAGATGGCTTACCAGGCGCTGTTCTACGGCGACCACTGCTCCTGACGTAAGCCTTAGCGGCATCAGGATGGGCCAAATGCAGAGGATGAATTGCCCTCCGAGGATCAATAAAGTGCACCTTTTACAGACCAAAGTCACCCAAAGTGCTTCACACTTTTCAGAAACGAGTACGAGGCGGAGATTGGGAGGAGGAGGGTTGCTGCTTGGATGAGGCTTCCTATTGATCTGAAGCTTAATTCAAGACAGTGCCTCATTGCTGCCTAGTGAGGGCAGTGTGGCGCTGCAGCTGAGAGTGATTGACTAATGCTATTGCCATGAAGCAACAGTGGGAAAACTTTGAGCGCTGTGATCTTAGTTGTTCTTCCTGTCTTCCAGTCTGAATATCCGCTTTAGCTTTATTTCAATCTGGAGAGACTCGAGCAGACAAAACATAGATATTATTAGAATTGTATATGGTGGCAAGTAATCTGACACTAAAATACCCATGACTCTGAGGACAATATTTTCAAGATTACATTTATTGTTTGTTTATTGTTTATTTTGTGCTTAGACCCTGGCAGAGCACTGCACGATTGCAGACAGGGAAAGAGATTATGAGATTAAATCCTCCAAAAGGAAGGTGCTGGCACCTTGGAGATTGCTTGTCAGTGAATGAAAATTAACTGTCAGTTGTCTCGTCAGTGGTATCCAGGAGGGGCATTCGCTGATGCCGTCGCAATTCTCTGAGCGGCTCCGCACCCGGCGTCCCAGAGCCGCTAATCACCGCGGCGTCAACCAGGAAAACCTTCGCTCGCTAGCACGGACTTCTTCACCGAAAAACGTGGATACACTTCGCATGGCACTGCTTAATGTCAGGTCGCTGGCAAGCAAGACCTTCGTACTCAATGATTTCTTTGTTTCCCAGCATTTGGATATCATGTTTTTGACAGAGACATGGTTACGTCCTGGTGAGTCTTCAGCTTTCTCTGAACTTCTACCTCCTGGCGGTTAGTTTTTTTAGCTCTCCCCGTACCTCTGGAAAGGGTGGAGGGCTAGCCTCTGTGTTTAAATCCAGTCTTAAATGCCGACAATGTCCAGCAACAACTTTCTCAAGCTTTGAATTGCAGTTGATTGAAATACAGAGCACTGTGCCCGTCCTGTGCGCGCTGGTATATCGACCTCCAAAGTTTAACAAAGACTTCATTGCAGACTTTTCTGACTTTGTAGCAGGAACTGTTCTTAAATATGATCATTTTTTAATAGTGGGTAATTTTAACATACATGTTTGCTGTAACTCAAAACCTCTGGTAAAGGACTTTTTAAGTGCCATCGATTCTTTTAATCTTACACAGTAGGTTAATGGCCCTACTCATGAAAAGGGCCATACACTTGATCTCGTGTTGTCTCATGGTTTAAATGTAGGCATTGATAATCTTTGTAGTACGCAGATATCGGACCATTTGCCAGTTTTGTTTTCACTAACACTTCCGTGCACTCCAGCTAAACCGTGCGCCTTGGCGCGTATGCGGCGCGTCATGAGCCAGTCGACAGCAGAAGAATTCTCAAATACTTTTACTCATCTTGTGCCCACACTGGACTTATCACCTTGTTCTGTTGAAGAGGCCACTAGCATGTTTAATTCTACATGCTCCTCCATTTTAGACCTGCTTGCTCCTTTGAAAATGGTTAAATCTAAGTTTGTGTCTGAGCCATGGTTGAGTGACTCTACTCGTGCTCTTAGGCGTGAATGTAGACGCGCAGAGAGGAGGTGGAAAAAGGACAGGCTTCACGTTTCTTTGGGCTTTTTGCGAGACTGTTTATCAAATTATCAGAAAGCTGTGAAGTGTGCTAAAGCTGAGTACATGTCAAACTTGATTTCAACAAATCGTAACAAACCCCAAGTTCTGTTTAATGTCTTAAATAGACTTGTGAATCCTATTGACTCAGACTATGCTGTACATTCACAAACATTGTGTGAACATTTTCTGACATTTTTTGTTGACAAGATAACTGCTATTAGGGACTCAACCTCTTCTTTCAAAGTGGTTGATCCCTCTGTAACTTCTGTGTGTTCTGTGGTTTTTGAGCATTTTGAACCTGTGTCCCTTAGCGACCTTTCTGATGTTGTGCATAAATTAAGAGCTTCTAATTGTCCGCTCGATTGTCTCCCTCCTAAACTGCTCAAATATGCTTTGGGCGCGATTGGGCCTCATATACTGGCAATTATAAATTCATCACTGACATCAGGCTGCGTTCCAAGTTCCTTTAAACATGCTGTTGTTCAGCCTCTGCTTAAGAAGCAAAACCTTGACTCTGAAGTCCTGGCAAACTACAGACCAATTTCTAAATTGCCTTTCTTATCAAAAATCTTGGAAAAACTGGTTTTTGCACAAATACAAACTTATCTGGATGCAAATGGCATTTTAGAAAAATTTCAATCTGGCTTTAAGTTACGTCACAGCACTGAGACTGCACTCTTAAGAGTTTTTAATGACCTTATTTTAACTGTTGATTCAGGCTGCTCCACTGTTTTAGTGCTTTTAGATTTAA